GCTTCGATACAAAGTGAGCGGTAGGGGCTTGTGCGGTAGGCCCCAGTTGCTAACCTCAAAGCTGTGCATTGTATTGTGTCCAAAGCTTTCAAGTGTGATGGTCGTGCAGCACCATACAAGACACTTCCATAGTCTATTTTGGATAGTATTACTGACTTGTAGTACGTTAACAAGATTTCCTTGTCGGCGCACCAGTTGATGTTTGACATAAAACGAAGTGGGTTTATGGCTTTTTGACATCTTGCGACTAAATCCTGCATGTGTTCTTTCCAGTAGAGTTTTTTATCGAATATGAGTCCTAATACCTTTATTGTATCACAAAACTGAAGCTGGCGTCCATGCATACAATTTGTGGATGGTCGTGCGTTCTCCTAAGTCTGCAAAAGTGCACACATCGAGTTTTTGTCTCAGAAAAACGATAGCCTATGCTACTTGCTTTTTCGACAATTGCGTTTAATGCTTGTTGCAGTTTATCTTGGATGTCATCGATCGAGTTCGATGAGTAATAAATGGCAATGTCCTCAACATACATGATTTGGCCAATGCTGGGATTTAGGTCACTAAATATCTCATTTATTGTTAAAAAGGAGAACACTCAACGTAGATCCTTGGGGTATTCCGCTTTCCAGGACGTGACTGTTTGATAGAGAATTACCATGTCTTACTGCGAATCTCCGTTCTTCTAGAAAGCTTTTGAAAAATTTATCATTTTACCGTGTATTCCCCATTTCTTTAGCGCTTCAAGTACACTAAACCTGCAGGTTCGATCGAAAGCTTTCTCTAAGTCAAAGAATACGCCAACCATATGAAGTCTGTTCGCAAATGTATTCTGTATGGTATGCTCAAGGTTCATCGACATGTCAATTGCAGATCTATGGTTCCTAAACCCTGTTTGGTATTTTGTTAATAGGCCCTGAGATTCAAGATACCAGGATAGTCGTAAAGATATTATTTTCTCTAGGTGTTTTCCCATGCAACAAGTGAGGGATATTGGCCTATGGTCGCTCGGTAAAAGTTGGTTCTTACTTTGCTTAGCTATTGGAATGATTACTGTCTCTTTCCAAGCCGCAGGATAATATCCGGAATGCCAGATTCTGTTGTAGAGTTCTAGCAGGAGTATTTTGTGTGTAGAGGAGAGGTTCTTGATAAACTCATAAGGAATGTTGTGTCTGCCAGGTGAAGATTTGTTGGTACTATTTAACGCATGTTCAAATTCTTGCATTGAAATTTGTAGATTGTAATGTTGTTCTTCTTGCACTGTGTCCGGAATGGGTTCCAGGAATTCTGTCTCCCTTTGTTCAAGGAACCCCACAGGGTAAGCGTGTGAAGAGCTTACGTTTTCATAATGCAAATGCTTCTGCGATTTGTTGAGGATCAGTAAGTGTTTCCATCAACACATAGTGCTTCTGTTGGGGATGATGCTTCTTTCCTGATATAGCTTTCAATTTGTTCCTAATGTCTGAAATCAGAGTGTTGCGGTCAAGAGATGAAACGTACTTGTAGCGATTTACGTCTTGCCTTTAGTATGACTTGTTTAGCTTTAGCACGAAGTTTGTTGAATTCTATCAGGTTTTGGTAAGTGAGATCACGTTTAAATCTGTTGAAGGCAGCTTTCTTATCCCTTGTTGCCTGGGCTACCTCTTCATTCCACCACGGCACGGACTTCGTGCAAGAATAGCCTGACGACTGCGGACTGACAGTTGTGCCGACTTCAGAATCCCTTCAGATATTTTAGATACAGAAGAATCAATGTTGTCAGTTAAATGTTTAGGAAGATGGTAATTTATTTATTTATTTATTTATACATTATTGCCCAACAGAACTATTCCAATTAAAGGACAATATCATGGTAACTTTACTTATAATTCATACATGTAATGTATACCTAAAACTAAGTTAAAAAAATAGAACTAGCTATTATAATAGTACCTGAAATTCGACACGATCTTACTGATACAATCAAAATTAATGTCAGAACTGTCTGCTATGGAATTATAATTGTTGCATATAGAATGTAGCGGAGAATAAAATAATACATTTGTACGGGAGGTACTGCAGTAGAAAGTTAGAGTTCTTCTCGTATTTAAACCGTGGAATATAGAAATTTAACCTCTGGAGAAGTTCTGGTGCATCCACTCTGTCGTGCAAAAGGCTTATGAAGGAATGATAGGCCAGCAGTGGAACGTCTTAACTGTAGAGACTCTAGTTCAAAACGACGCAGCAGAACAATTGAGAGACCCCCCTTTCTGGATATGTGCCATCGATTTTATAAACACAGAACTTAAGAAATTTCCTCTGCACATTTTCTACGATGCTTATATAATACGCATAGAAAGGGTTCCATATCAAACAGGCATACTCAAGTTTTGGTCGCACCAGTGAAATAAAAAGAGCTTTTAGTGCCGCTTCATTGGAAAAAGATCGGCAGTTGCGCATTATGAAACCCAGAATCCGTGTCGCTTCGGAAGTGACGCGTGCTACATGGACAGAAAAGTCCAATCTACAGGAAAATGTTACACCAAGATCTTTAGTCTCTGTTGTTCTCTCCAGAACCCGCATTATTTATGGAGTAATCAAACATAATCGGGTTCATTTTACGACAATATGAACATACTTTACATTTGGAAATATTTAAGAAGAGAATATTATTGTCGCACCACTGTCTGATAGTATGCAGATCGTCCTGAAGGGAAATACAGCTCTCCAAATTTGTAATTTTGGTGTAGATTTTCAGATCATCAGCAAATAGTAGACATTCACACTTTAGTGAAGCGACTAGGTTATTTATGAAGAATAAAAACAGCAAGGGACCTAGGTTTGAACCTTGCGGTACTCCAGAGGGAACAGTATAATTTGCTGAAGAATAACCATTATAGTAAACATATTGCGTCCTACTAGAAAGATATGAGCTTAAAAGACCGACTAACGAGTCACTAAGGCCGAAATAATGAAGGCTATCCACAAGAAGATGATGGTTTAATTTATCGAAAGCCTTGCTGAAATCCATGTAAATAACATCGACTTGTTGTTTCTTGTCTAACGATTCTGCTATATACTGCGTAATTGTCATTAAATTTGACGTAGTGGATCTACCTTTGATGAAACCATGTTGTGATGGAGTAATTAGGCTTTTAACGTTCACGAAGATAAAAGAGTAAATGGCCATTTCAAAAGCCTTTGCAAAGTTGTTCAAAATGCTTATAGCTCTGTAGTTGAGTACATCAGATTTATCAGCATCTTTCAGGACCGGACACTCCTTAGCTATCTTCCAAACATCAGGAAAAATTCCACTCTTTAATATAGCATTGAAAATTATCAGCATCGGCTTGACGAAAACATGAGCACAATCTTTAATAATAAAACTAGGTATTGATCACTACCAGACGTAAGTTTATTTTGAAGCTTAGAGAGAGACTTCAGTACATCAGCTTCCGTTAATTCCTCTAGATAAATACATGATGTTGAAGTGACACTAACTAAAGAAGAGGGAATATTTCGAGGAGTAACATACACACTCTTGAAATAGTCGGCAAATGCATCAATAACACCTTGTGGAGTACTGAATACGTTGCCGTTGAACTGGACTTGGCCTGGTATTCTGCTACAGTCTCTCTTATTCCGAATGTATGACCAGAACTTCTTCGGGTCGTTGATTATACTGTCCTCAACCGACGACAAGTACTCACTGTAAGCAACTCTAACTCGCCCCTTTATGATTCTGCGCAATCTAGAAAATTCATTGTAATGGTAAACATTGCGTGTTCGCTTATATTTTCTGTAGTAATAATCCTTCAAATTTATGTTACTTATAATTTCTCCAGTATACCAAGGAGGATACCTGAATTTGCAGGTGTGGGTATATTTAGGAACATAAATATCAAATATTGAAAAAATTTTAACATAAAATGTATCGCATAGTTCATTAACATCAGTAATTTTACGTAAAAAGGACCAGTCAATATAACTAAAAAGCATTATATAAGCCAACATAGGACCCCTTCTTGAAGTTATACATCAGTGATGTAGGTTCAGTATTTGGGGACAAGTTAGACCTACTAGACAGCTGTATGGTAAATAGGATACTTAAAGGTGGATGGTGAGGATCTACTTGATTTACAATAGAAATAGCTTCCCGTGAAATAATACATGGTACACTTTCAGTGCTTATGACTAAATCCAGCAATCGCCCCAGCGCATTTAATATCATGTTAGATTGGATGGTGTTGGTAAGATCTAAAAAATTTGATAGCGTTGTATAACGAAAATCTGCATGGAGACTAAATACGAAACCGGGGGCATTAAAATCGCCCAGTATCAAAACGTTGGGCTGATTGATTATTAACGTACTCATGTGTGACAAAAAACTTTCGTAAGTGTCATTAGAAGTGTCTGGTGGAATACAAATAACATAAACAAACAGAGTGAGTGGTAGCTTGCACTTAATCGCAACTATGTCAATGGAAGGATAATCAGTAGAAAAATCTAAAAAAACATGCTCTGCCAGAGAACTAGTTTTACATGCCAACAATACACCCCCACCCAGACAATTTATTTGTTCTTACAAAATCACGGTCACTACGAAACACACTGTAGTTTCCAGGAAAAATTTCAGAGTCACGTACTTTTTCGGACAGCCAAGTTTCTGTTAAACCAATTAGATCATATTCATTTAAGGTTGCCGATGAAAATAAATCATCAATTTTCGAATTCAAGCCCCTAACATTCTGATAATATGCTCGAAGTTCAGCGCTGCTGGGTCTATTCAGTTTAAATTAGCAACAATTTTTGGAAGACCATGTACATATTTGATTCTGATGTTCTTCTCACCTGCAGCAATCCTCTGATCCAGTTCATGTTTGACTTTCTATAAAATTCCTGCTGTTTTGGAGTTCTGTCAGTAGAGATACTTATTCTTGTATTCCTGTTACCGGATCTACGAGTAAGCTTAGCAGAGTTTTTAATGCATAACAGGACATCTTGATTGTTCCGCAGAGAAACCTTTACCGGCCTAGGCCTATCCTTGTGGGATCAAACTTTCCCAGCCTGAAGAGTCTGACATTGGTATCAATTTCTGTAGAAAGGGTCTGCAATATACTTTTAACCTCTTGAGTATCATGAGCTATTCTGTTCCTGCTTTGTCCTACTTTGATCTTCAGTAAGTCCAAAAATAATAATATTCTGTTTCCTACGGTTCCGCTCTTCAATTTCTTGAAGAACCTCCTCATACTCGATTGTGATGAAGACTGTGCAGGAGGAGGAGATTCCTTTTTCAGCTTCTCCAGTTCCTCTATCAAATTATCAACTTTTTGATTTAATTTTGGAACCAGCCTAATTCCCAAAAGACAATCGTCACAATAAAACTTGAGTAGTCGTTTGCCTTTTAAGGCCATCACCTTTAGCTCAGATTCATTGAGTTCGGAACATTCTGAATGAATAGGTCTCTCGCAGCTATCACAGGATAAATAGGAACAACTATCCGACTTTTTGCATTTTAAACATTCCATGATCAAAACTAGCTTTGGCTCCGCCACTGTCCGGACAACGTTATGGAATTTCAAGAAGCAAAAGAATGATCCTTTTCACGCTGGCTGGACCAGTTTTTGCATATGATCAGCTCAGCAATTGTAAGAAGACAATTTGATCAATCTCAGAAGCTGAATTATGCACCGTAGAACCATATGACGAACCAGGCAAGCATTCTGACAATAGCATTTCTCTTCCCCAACAATATGATGTAAGTTTCAGATCGTTTAGATGGGTATTTACCACTAAAAACTGATGATTTCACAGGAGCACTATACGATAGCGTACACACAACGGAACGTCTACCAAGTTATGGGCTGTATTTCAGTAATTTCCCAGTCGGGCCTTTCTGCTATCCAACGCTTTGGTCTTGTAGACACACTGAGTTTACCTGGGAATTCTATTTGAACCGGAAAATGGTCGGATGATTGTATATTCTGCAAGCACTTCCACTGGAATAGGTTTGCGATGGTAGGGGGAACAGATGGAAAGATCTATGGCGGAAAAGGTCATGGATCTCGAATTTATGTAGGTGTTGGCTGATACTAAGTTTGTAGTACGCAACACAAATATTGTTTGGAAGCGTGGGAGTAATAAAAGTTAGTACCTGCGAAGGTGTGTCAGTTAAAACACCACTTTTTTAGATTTCAATCTTCTCACATCTATGACTCCATCTGTTTTTAATTCTTCCTTAATTTCATCTAGTGCACAATTCAGAAGATCTCTGCAGTAGATCACACCTTTAGACTTATTCAAACCTATATGCGGGGTAACTACTACATCCATATCAGTAAATCTTTTTACAGCTAACAGTCTTTGTGTCTGTGCATTACTAGACGTTTGAAACAAGTAGACTTTCTTTTATCTTCTTTACAGATCGGATTTCTCCAACTAATCCGTATAGCGTTTTCGAAATCACAAATGGACTCACTTTGTCAAAACCTTCAGGAGACGTTTTCTCTGTCCTTTTAACAAGCAGGAACCGGGCATTAATTCCACCGTCTCGTTTGCCAGTGCCAGTGCCCGTTTTGTGGAGGGCGGGCACCTCCGTTTGTTTGTTATAAGATATATCCATATTTTGTCCCACGAGAATGGGAAGAAACAATGGTCACCTGCAGCAGTGCTCCCATACTACAGGAAGGCTAAGTACAACCAGTGTTGCCAGGCACCTGGAGGGCACCGTTCGAGACTCGCTACGTGCAGCCATTCACCCCTAGGCAACGGTCGGTCCGCCTTACCCGTAGGTTCCGGATTTCGCAGGTTGTTTCCTGTTCTGGAAGGGTAAGATAAAAGGGAAAAGAAGGATGAGGGATAGGAAAGAGGGGGGTAAAGTCCAGGGTTTGGTAGAATGAGCAAGACTACCAAATCCCGAACTCCCTGACTGGGGCCGTGATCACGATCCAGCTTCACAAGTAGATACCCCCTGCGGGGTATTATTATTATTATTATTATTATTATTATTATTATTATTAATTATTTTTTTTGCCCACAGCGGCATCGGCCTACTATGGCCATTAGCCCGCCTGCCCATATGATACGGTCAATTGCCACTTTTACCACAGGGTAGATCTGGGTGACTCAGATGTCATGTAAGTAGCTCAGATTTCAATACACAAAAAATACAAGAACAAAAAAAATATCTACACATTATACGCACACACATATTATATCAGACATATAATTAACTTAGTCCAGACAAGGACACTATAAAATAAGCATACATGATCGTGGATACACAAGCATTTAATTACATATCCGACGCTAGTACTTCTTAATCAATCATAGATCATCAGTTTACGTATATGTATTCAGTAGGATCCTACGTAATTGCACTATATTTTACTAAACAGTTTGGTAGATTTAAGAAAATCAAGTGTAGAACCTATGTTGGCAGTAGTGAGAAAGCAACTTTCTAAGTCCACAGCTAGGTTGTGTGCTGTTCTAGCAGCTAGGTATAAAGGACACTCAAACAGTATATGCTTCCATGAGAGTAATTTATTACATGTTTCACATCTTGGTGGTGGATTACCTAATAGCATGTGGGAGTGAGTAAGAAATGTGTTCCCTATTCTCATTCTCGTAACTACTACCTGTTCTCTACGTGTCATATGTGGAAGGCTCCATTTTTTTATGCTTGGCTTGAATGTCTTCAAAAATTTATTCGAGGGGTTCCATTCTTCCTGCCATGAGTGGAGGACATTTTCCTTCATAGCTTCTTTAGCATCTTCTAGCCGAAGTGGTACACCTGTTACGTCCAATAAAATTGCTTGGCGTGCTGTTTGATGGGCCAGTTCATTTCCATGAATTCCAAAGTGCCCTGGGCTCCAGATGAAAGTAACGTGTTTATTTTCTTGATACAACTGATGGTGGAGACTCAGCGTCTTTATGAGGAGAGGATCTGTTGAGTACTTGTGTTTGATAGCCAATATGGCATTGAGAGAGTCGCTGCAGATAAGGTACTTACCTCCTGCTAAACCTTTTATATAGTTAAGAGCCTGAAAGATGGCGAAAAGTTCGGCGAAGTATATAGAACATGACGAGTTTAAACTCCATCCACGACAAAATCCTTCAGAGGCTATGGCACAACCAACTCCCTCAGCAGTCTCCGGTCCATCAGTATAAATAATCTTGCATGGTTAGTATTTTGCAATAATGTTTAAAAAACTCGATTTATAGCCTCATTACAAATTGTCCCTTTCTTTGTATCGAGTCATTTCGGTATCAGTCAAAGGTATTGTTAATGTCCATGGTGCTAGATCAGGTAAGATCAAGTTATCCACATCTGGCAAATCGATACCTAGGACGGCTAGTATTTCATTGACCCGGATTCCAAAGGGGCGGGTGGCGGTTTTTATTGCATAGTTGAGGCTAAGTTGCTGTATTCTGTATTTCAAAGGTGGTATTCCAGCTTCACAGTATATTGAATCTGAAGGGCTTGTCCTAAAGACACCAATACATCGTCTTAGACCATCTCTATGAAGTATTTCCAGTCTCTCAATATGAGACTTACGCGCTGATGCAAACACAATTAGACCATACTCAATTTTCGAAAGGACCAAAGATTGATATAATTTCAGAAGGACTTCCCGACTGGCTCCCCACTGGATGTTAGAGATACATTTGATAATGTTCATGGACTTCTTGAACCTAACAAGGATTTTTTCAATCTGAGGACCTCAGTGAAGTTTTTGGCCGAACGTTAGCCCCAGAAGATCTAGAGTATCTTTACACTGTATCAGATGTCCATTTAGTGACAGTCGAGGATTAGTGTGTGGAGTTCTCAGCCTACAAAAGTCTATACAGGCCGTTTTTACGGGGGAGAATTGAAAACCGAGACTCTCAGCTGTAGCCGTAAGATGATTTATTGCTGCTTGTAGAGTTTCCTCGATTTTTATTAGGTCCTCTGCAGAGAAGAATATAGTGAGGTCGTCCACATATAAACATTTGCCTATATGAGGTTCTATCGACTCAACAAGGGGATTCACAGCTATTATAAAGAGTGTCACACTTAGCGTCGATCCTTGGGGGATGCCGTTTTCCTGTGTATAGGCACGTGAGAGCTCATTTCCTATGCGAAATTTGAACAAACGGTCCTCCATGAAATTTGATATGAGAGTTAATAGGTTGCCTCTAAGTCGCCAAGAATATAGGGTCTTCAGAATTCCGTGCCTCCGTGTTCGATCATATGCCCTTTCTAAATCGAAAGAGACTGCCACCATGTGATTTCGGTTAGCAAAACTTGTCTGAGTAGCTGATTCAAAGTAGATTAACTGGTCAATAGTGGATCGGTGACGCCGAAAGCCCATTTGATGATTTGAAAGTAAATTCCGTGCTTCTAGGAACCATACTAATCTCTATTTGCATTTTTTCAAATATTTTGCTTGGGCAACATGATAAAGATATAGGGCGATAGCTGCCAGGGTTCTTTGGATCTTTATTAGGTTTTAATATAGGAATGATCACAGCCTCGTGCGATTGTTGGGGGTATATACCCTCCGCCCAAATTTTTTATAAAGAGTTAGCAAATTCATTTTTCCTGTTGCAGGTAAGTGTCTAATCATTTCATAGTGTATAGAATCTGCCCTGGAGTAGAGTTGTGGACCTCACTTAGTGCACTTTCCATTTCTTCTAACGTGAAAGGCAAGTTATATGCAGATGTCTTCAGTAAAATCAAGGTGTGTGGTTTCTTCTTCAACTTTCTTGGTTGAAAATTTAGGTGAATAGCTGGAAGAATTTGAGTTATTTTGGAATTCAAGTGCCAAAACATTAACGATCTCTTGATTGTCTGTTATTTCATTATCATTGATCAGCAGGACAGGTGATGGAATAGCGAAGCGTTTTCCCGATAATAATCCAATCTTCTTCCAAATCTCATAATCGGGAGTAGTTCTAGATATAGTAGATACAAATTCCCTCCAGGACGAGTTCTTACTCATCAGAATCAGTTGTCGGGCTTTCGCTCTATATTTTTTAAACTTGATAAGATTAGATAGTGTTGGGCATCTTTTGAATTGAGTAAAAGCTGGTTTTTTCTTCTGTATTGAATGATCAAGTTCGCGGTTCCACCAAGGTACACTATTGGGACCACGGACTGTACTGGCTGTTTTGGGGATACTACCCTCCGCTGCCTAATGATGCCATTTGTGATCTCTATTACTGATTCATGTACAGTGCCGTTCATATTGAAAGGATGAATTATGTATTGGTACAAAGACCAATCTGCTTTTTTAATGTTCCATTTACTGTGTCGAACGGGAGGATGACACTTCGCAAAGGTTCTAATTAAAATAGGTAAGTGATCAGAGAAGTTATCCTCCAATACCTGCCATTGGAAAAGGTGTGCTATTTGTGGGGAACAGATGGTCAAATCAAAGGCGCTTAAATTGCAAGAACGGGTATTTAGATAT